ACGATGATGAGTGGTGGTGCGTTGATGACTGCTATGATTTCTTCCTCGGTTTTCAACTTGGTTCCTTCATTTTACTTCACTTCTGTCTTTCCGGATGGGATACGGGCTCTGGTCGCTCGAAAATACCAATTCCTTACAATGCTTACTCTAGCTATTTCTTTTCGCATAATTGGGTTTTCAACCTCCTGCAATTTGCCACTCTTTCGTTATCTCAACACATCATGCTACTCATTTTTTTCTCGTTTACAAGAACTGCATTCACTTTGCGATTTCTATATGTTGCTTCTTGATCTCCTTTCTGATGTCCAGTCACCCACGCTATATTTGTCTCGTCGTGCGCACTATTCACGCTTGCTTCACGTTCCTTTCCAATGCTCCAACTCAATCCTCAATCTTTGTCTTATACAATCCACGTCTTGCCCATCTTCGCGTCCCTCATCCCCATCGTATTTGTTTTACACTTAATCTGTTCGAACTAATAGGGTTCGGTTGTTTGACTTGTCTTATTTCCGCCCCCTGTCACACGTTGAGAATAGTCGTGTTGTTCCTAGTTCCCTCTGCATTACCATTAAACAAAGGGCGAAAGTACCGGTAGATAAAACCTTTTTGTAGCTATATTACTCTTCGAATTACTTCGAGTACTTGCCGATGTGCGGTTTCATGTTTGTAACATTGTTTGAACTGCAAATAGAAGTTCTAACGCTTCGATTGGTCTGCCGTGGATGAGCGACATTTTCGCGGGAGAAGGGAGGTGTAACTAGAGTTTTGCCTTTTAGGGACGAAAGTGTATAACAGGCAGTGCCGGTTGCCGAGCCCGCTTAAATCATCTCCTTCTACCGACTACGATCTGCCACAGACGGTTGTTCTCTACTACTACGGCAGCGAGCCCTTAATTTGTTCAGAGGGCTTGCGCTACAAGGGCCTCAATAAACATGTCCAGCTATCTCTACGAGCTTCCGACAACAGGGGCCGTTGCGTTCTCTGATTTCCTGCATGACGAGAGCGCGAGTTACATATCTGATATTTCGGACACGACGGAGGCTAGGGCGAACCTGCGGGCGGCGTTGAAGGAAAGCAAGCGGACACAGGATAGCGAGAAAGATTATCTGAAACTTGTCAAGGTGCGCACCGTGCGGTTTGTTCACAGGACACCCGTGATGGTTTCCTTTGCTAAGCCCAGACTCATTATTGGGTGGCTCGAAATAGATCGTAGATGACTACATACCGAAGCTATGTGGGATAATCGCGGCTGTCAAGGCTGGCGAGCTTGTTGTCAAGTCTGAGCCAAGTGAGTGCCGTGGACAAAATCTGTTTCATAGCTATGAACCAAACTCGCAGTATTCAGCTGGAGAACAACGTTGTCGTCCACGCTCTTCCATACTTCTCCTCGTCTCCCTGTTCCTTCGCTCGCCGCAGAGCTAGGTTTCACTCTTCTTACGTATGCGTTCCTTTTGTCGAATCTCTCGCGCGCGGTGGTTACCAACCTTGGAATGTACGAGTTCGAGAGAGGGATCTCGGATGTGGAGCGTAAGGTAAAGGATGAGCGACTAGGATTCGCAGTTACTCTATTATGCAAAGTAGCTGGGGTGTACGAGTACATCGCAAAGAACGTCGTCTCGGACTGGGAAGCTGCAAGAGAGAAGGCCGTCGCTGGTGGAATGAACTGTCCATACCCGCCCGATCTGAGCCGCGAGGTGCTCATTGGGCTCAGCAAGTACGTCGTCGTCACTTTGATTTGTCAACTCCGAACTTGCTTATGGGTCAAATCTTTGGCAGGTTGGCCTTAGGCGACGCGCAGAACTTGGCTGTGCGTAAGCTGCTGACGCGTGCTGCGTTTGACAGTACAGTGAGCCCTGGTCCACCTTTACCCAAGTCCCACCCCCCTCCTGCCCTTGCATCGAAACTTCATCTCGAATGCGCAGCATTGTACTCGTCTGGGCGTGCGCTCGTCAAGACTCCTGGCGCGTCAAGATCTTCGATCTCACATTCCCATTCATCGTCTTCAAATTCAAAGTTCAAGCTACCGGGGAAGAGCAGTGGCTCGTCCGGCAAAGATGACAATGTTAGCGACGAGGTTGTACCAGAGCTGCGCAGGTATCTCGCGGACGAGATTTCTGTGCATAATGCTTTGGCTCACAAGTGGCTTGGTGTGGACTATGGTGAAACACACGATGGGGCAGGAACGTCTGTTGGGTTCCTAATGTGGTCGAAGAAAGAGTTGGAGGAGTTGAAGGGTGGTGGGAGCTCTAGTGGCCTCAACATCGGCTCTGACAGAGAGAAAATGATGCGTGATGCGAGGAAGGCGAGGGTACATGCCGAGTTGGAGAGCGTAGGCGTGTTCTTGAAAGGCTATAAACGAATGAACGACTCGGTATGTTTTTTGAATATTTCCACTGCCTTTACTGATACAGAGTTGATGCATAGATGGCGTTCCAATCTGTACCTCCGCAGACAGAATTACAAGGTCTAATACCCGCCGGACGAATGGCTGTCGCTCTTCGACCATATGCTCATCCAACCCCGGCTTTCGGACCAGGATCATTAGAGTATGCACGAAAGAAGACGGAAGAATTGGAATTATTGGAGAGTGAAGGCAACACAGAGGGGAATGAACTGATAACTCCCACTACTGAGACGAGCAATTACAGTATGGATCGGCCCTATTACTGAAGTACGAGTCTGTCTTCAGCTACCGTCACTTGATCTCACCTGATATAGTGAGTGCTTGTTTCTCATCCACTTGACTTGCCGACGATAATGATAGACTAGAGGGTTCGAATTTCACAGGTAGTCATGAGATACTGCAAACCTCCCATAACATTTCCATCACACCTCGTGTACACGCTATCAGTGTGGGAAGTCGAACAACGTACAATATATACAAGTGCTCGGAATCTAACAGACCAACTGAACGAGACTGTTCGAGCTCTGTCGTATCTCCCGACTATGTCTTCGCCTAGTCCAGAAACCAAGTACTATCATCACGGACGGTTTACGTTTTCAGGCGGGACTCTACCCGATGCGTTCACTGCGTACAGAACATATGGTAACTCTCAGAACCCTTGCATAGTGTTTCCCACATGTTACGGGGGGAGGCTTGATAGTAAGCTCGTTAATAGTTCTCACTACTGGCTGAGACTTACCAACCACCTCAAGGCCAGTTGTACTTGATCGGAGAGGACAAGGTATGTATGAGAACTTCTTCATATGATACTCGAAGCTCTGTTGCTGAGGTACTTTGGCCGTTCCGTCAAGGTGCTGAAACCAAGTAAATATTTCATCGTCACCTTTGCGCTTTTTTCCAACGGCGAAGTAAGTTCCTCAAAATAAGGAACACAACATCCATTTAACAGTTCTCTACTATTCTAGTCATCTTCCCCTTCAAACACAGTGAGACATGCTGCCAAGCGCACATAATATTGGCCACTAACCTCACGGTAGCCCATTCCTTATAATGGACCGTATTTCCCTATGGTCACTTACGAGGATAACATGTAAGTTGCCACTAGAATTATTGGCTGCAGTACTCAGTTGCAAGCAGACGGGCGCAATACGCCGTTTTGACAAAGGAGCTCAACGTCCAGAAGATCTTTTGTGTCATCGGGTTTTCCATGGGTGGGCAACAGGTAAGATTATCCATCCAAGCACGGAATCGAGGTAGGCATCGACCTAACGTGTAGTTGCGTAGGCATATCATTGGCCTGTCATGTTTCCGGACTTTGTCGAAAGGTATACACAATACTTGATGGAGGATGCAAACGCAGACCGGGCTCATCGATCCTGACTAGATTTATTCCCATCTGCGGTTCCGCACGAACAAGCCCACATAACATCTGGTAAGCTTCGGGATGGTCTCCGTTCACTTCTTCAGGCCCACACGATCCATAGTTTCCTAGAAGGTCCTAAAGCCGCACTCGTAGCGTCGCAAGACTTCCAAGGTGGACATTATACCACGAAACCAGCCCATGGGATCCGTGCATTTGGTCGGGTCTATAGTGCTTGGGCGTACGGTCAAACCGTAAGCTGATAACTCGTTATGCGATACCTATTGTACTGATTTACACTCCTTTAAAAGTGGTTCCGCAACAAGTCCTACCTGTATGACGGAAAATACACGGATCTAGATGACTTCCTTAGATCTGAATGGGAAACCGGCTATCTCACATACTGGGACGCAAACGACATGCTCACGCTACTCAAGACGTGGCAACTGGGCGATATATCTCGTGTGAAGGCCGTCGGACCTTCCTTGCAGGGTGACCTCGTTGGTGTACTATCCAGTATCACAGCCAAAGGCCTAATCATGCCATGCAAAACCGATTTGTATTTCCCGGTCCGTTAATTCACCTTTGCGAGGTGGAAGTATGAAGCTCACGATCATTGGATATACTGTAGCCCGAAGACAGCGAAAATGAAGTACAATCGCTGACTAATTCTACGCTCGTCGTTATTCCGTCCGTCTGGGGACACAAAGGTGAGTACTGAGTATTCGACTTTGGCGCCCGTATGACCTGTGTATCTTATTATGCTTGACTATCAGCCGGAGGAGGATCAAACGAAGAGGACAACCAGTTTATATACAAAGTAGTTGGCGAATTCCTCGAGTCCTGAATTCCGAGCGCTGTCATGTAATATATAAGCTTTTAAGTTGAAATGCAATTTGAATGATGTCCCTAAGACTGTGGTCGCGAATGAGCATGCACGGACCACATGAACACGAACATTTTCGCGTGTGGCTACTGTGATCGCAGTACACTGCCGAAGATGGTGCATGTGTACCGCATCGCGACATTACATGAACCTGCACAGAGGACCTCCGTGTGGGTACCTACTGTACAATGCTCGGTCATTGATCTTTAGTGGATGAATTTGATTGAGCGAGTACACACGATTTTTGTTATTTTGAGAATGAAAACATTAGCAGTCTGTATAATTCTATAGAGCTTATCAAACTCAGTGGATGAGCCTGAGGCAATAAAACATAACTCTGAGAAATAAAATGACCACCGCAGGGGTCGAACCTGCGATCTCCTGATCACGTGACTATAAGTTGTAGTCGTAGTCAGACGCGATGCCATTTCGCCAGGCGGCCATATTCTTTCCTGAAGAAGAAATTGTATATGTAGAGTAAATTGTGGAACTCACTGACTCGATTCCTACTATCTACTTCTACGGGAATCATGTTTGATCAACGTAAATAAGTAGTATGATATCCGGATTATATACACTTTGCATAATCTTACACAACGGCGTGCATACGTATGGAAATAATGCATACATTATCAGAGACATATGACGGTGGAGTTTTGCTGCAGAAGAGATTCGTACACCCACCATATGCGACTGTTCAAGATTGCAGGAATTCTTCAATAACTTTGTGAATGAAGCGATCGTCCTCTTCATTTGTTCCCCCTCCCGCTAATAGACAATCGTTGTTAGACAGATGTTCTTGCGCATACTAAAATCGAAAATTTACCCATGTGACCCCATACAGACGGAATGACGACGAGTTTCGAGTTAGTCAACGATTGTACTTCAATTTCGCTATCTTCGGGCTATAACCAATCGTATCAATAATTTCCCTTGAGGTCAGCGTGACGAAAACTTACAGGGAAATATAGATCAGTTTTACACGGCATGATAAGACCTCTGGCTGTCACGCTAGATAAGACACCGGCGAGGTTACCCCGCAACGATTGCCCTACAGCTTTGACACCAGTAACGTCGCCAAGCTGCCATGTTCTCAGTAGCGTGAGCATGTCGTTTGCGTCCCATTCGGTGAGGAAATCGGACTCCCATTCAGACCGAAGGAAGTCGTTTAGGTCCGTGTACTTTCCATTAAAAAGATAAGAGTTGTTACGGAACCACTGGAAAGAGAGATAATGCGTTAGGTCAACAGTCGCAGCATCAGGTATACTCTCGCGTACAGTTTGACCATATGCCCATGCGCTATATGCCCTTCCAAACGCTCGTATGCCATACGTAGGAGTGGTGGTATAATGTCCGTCAAAAAAGTCTTTTGAGGCTACAAGAGCGGCTTTTGGACCTTCCAGAAAGCTATAATCTAGTTAGATTTTGGAGGTACACTTGTACCAGGTTACCGTCTCACCAAGCGTTATGCGAGCTCGTGCGTGCCGAGCCACAGATGGGAATGAACCTGAGAAGATACCTTCAAGCCGTGAACATGATCGAGAAATTCCCCCCTTACCTCTCAACAACGTCGGGGTACATCACAGGCCAGTAATATGCCTGTATGTCCAGATTTGAGTAACGATGAGAGAACGAAGGCATACATCATTACCTGCTGACCGCCCATTGAAAAGCCGATGACGCAAAATACCTTCGAAATATTCAGCTCCTTCGTCAGAACAGCGTATTGCGCGCGTCTTCAACATGTCAGGAAACTTAGAAGCCCAATATTTATGACGACAACATACATATTATCCTCGTAGGTGACTGTCGGGAAATACGGCCCATTGTATGGCACAGGCTAAGAAGCTCCAAGTTAAGTATGTATGGTGCGAGGGTGGATGGTGAAAGGATCGCACTGTATTTGACGGGGACGATGACTAGTAATATGTTAAGCAACCACAAGCTGATGTAGTTAGGCAGCTTACTTCGCCGTTGGAGAAAAGTGCAAAAGTCACAATGAAATATTTGCTCGGATTCAACACCTGTACAAGTGAAAGTTGGTTTAACGGCGACCGCGTTCACATGTGGGAGAGGCTCATACCTTGTCTTCTCCGATCATATACAACTGGTCTTGCTCCGTAGGTTACTTTTACGTTGAAACACTAGCTTTGATAAGACTTACGTTCAAGTTTTCCTCCGTAACATGTTGGAAACACTATGCACGGGTTCTTTGGGTCTCCATAGGTCCTATACGCAGTGATAGCGTCAGGCAATGTTCCCCCTTCGAATGCAAATCGTCCATGGTGGTAGTATCTGGTCTCTGTTTTGAGTGAGGACATAACGCTGGGTGGTAAGAGAACTAGGACACGATGCTGGTACTCGGTAAGAACGTAGCTTACCCGATGCTTTTTATAGGATGGGAGACTTCGACTTCCCACACTAGTACTTGATGTTGCGAGCATGGGCATGATTAAGGCGACATGCTCTAAGCAATTATCGACTTATCTTTAGTGGACAGACTAAGTACATATATTTCTAGGCATAAAAAGGCTTTAGTCCCTCGCTGCCTAGCTAGTGAGCACATGAGAAACGAGTACTACTCACCCGTTTAGTCGAACTCGCGTTCAGTAGTATCTGCGACACGGTCGAAAAGTCGAAGCTAAGTAGACTGTTAGTGTAATGAAGGGATATGGTGTTGGATTCAGAGGTCGACTTTGAGGCTGTTTATACGGCGCACTCATATAATATCAGCAACTTCGCATATTGTGGAAACTGGCAAAGTCATGAATCGAACCCACGCCAGGGTGACCGTGCGAGGCGACTTGAAATGGATCCTTACCGGGACGCCGGGCCGTTCATGGAGGACTCGGGCATAGCCGTAAAACTATACTAGTTTTTCTCACAGTCCTGAATCAGGCAAGTGCGACTTTCATCCCCTCATCGACACCGACCGCCACCGCAAGAATGGGCTGTATGTCGTCCTGCTCGCCGATTCGCGCAATGTAGACCTTGCTGCTAACATACTTTTTCAGCCAACAAACCTCGTGGATTGCAAGCAGCGCGTAAGCTTCGCACCGACCGCCGTCTCAACCGCTGGGTGAGTCTACCCCACTCAAGCCTAGGACCGAATTATCTAACCATAAAGTGCTATTTACCCCTACCTTGCGTCGGTTAAATAGGCGGACAAGTCATACAAGAAGCGTGCTCTCGGCAACTTCTACAAAACCTCCCCTACTGGAGGTTCTTCACACGCAAAGGGAATCGTTCTTGAGAAGGTCGGTGTAGAGGCCAAGCAGCCCAACTCTGCCATCCGCAAGTGCGTACGTGTGCAGCTCATCAAGAACGGAAAGAAGGTGACCGCCTTCGTCCCCGTAAGTGTCCACTACGCTCCCCAGCTCTAATCCTCCCCCGTGCGATAGCGACAACTCGTTGTGCGCTTGCGCGCGGTCTAGGCTTGGCTGGTATCTATCTTGCATGAGCCTCCACCTAATTACTTCTGGAATAGAACGATGGTTGCTTGAACTTCGTCGATGAGAACGACGAAGTCCTCATTTCCGGTTTCGGTCGCCGTGGTAAGGCCAAGGGTGATATTCCCGGTGTCCGATTCAAGGTAGTGAAGGTCTCGGGTGTTGGTTTGCTCGCTCTGTGGAAGGAGAAGAAGGTATGTGATCATCGAATACATCCAAGATTCAATGGCTTATGGTCAACTTTACTTTTGTAGGAGAAGCCCCGATCATAAACACTCCATCCCCCTCTTCTTTATCTCGTTGCTCCCTCGCATCGCGCTTTTGTTATGGCTTACCCCCATGTGACCATATGCTTGTACCGCACTCCCAGCCGCTCTGAATACACACGCATAAACCCAATGTGAAAATGAGCAGTGTATGCTCGCTTGTGTACATTACTGCCGTCATGATTCGGTGAATTGTAGCAGTATGAATTTCACTTCCACGAAATGCATATCTCACCGTATCGAACAAGGATAGCTCTGATAGCATTCTATTCTATTTTTGGTAGTTCTATGCAACTGAGGGAAAGTTCGTTATATTCCATTGCGCTGAATCGATAGTGTCTGGTAGGTCTGCTTGTGCTATGGAGGGACATAATCAGCCTCTACTTCAACGGACCTCAGACTAGCTTGCGCGTATATATAAAGCCTTACTTGAACTTGGGCTTGTACTTAGAAAGACTTCGGTATCTCAACACGAAAAGCTGTCGACGGTACCTATACATTAGATCGATAGCTGATGTTTGCCAGCGTAAATGATGATGGAACAAATAGTCGACGGTGAGCATCTGGTATACTCTGAAAGATAAGTACGATATACTAGTAGAGACCGTCATAACTCGGTAGGTTTCAACAAACTGCAGCAGGATGATTTGGCATGAGTAACATTCGCATCGCAGAGGTCATCGAGCAACGGTGGTTCTGATATCATTTCAATTTAAGGTACTAGCCTACTTACTTCATTTCTGGCAGAAACGAAATCCGGATTGCGGCATATACACTTCACCTCAATCCCTCTCTTCTGCGTCAGGAAGCCTAATTCCTTCTCCAGCACCGCCTCAGCTACCTCTTGCTTAAGAGGGGTATGGAGGCAAGAGTAGTCGAAGGTCAGGCACTTCAACGCAGGAAACCTCTTATTGCACGAAAGCAACTCGCCAAGGTCCCTTAGACCGAAGATGGAGTCGAAGGTAACGTCCTCGGTGTCCTCCATTGTAGTGAGGTGGAAGGAGATCGACGCCAAAATTTGGGAGCTGATAGTTGCGAGCGTGGGCATAGCATACAGAGGTATCCAGTAGCCTGCCAGTGATGACCATCGTTCCTCATCCAAAAAGACGCTTTCCAGCTGAGTACAGCGAGACAGGTCCGGGAATTTGAGACTAAAGTCACCGTCGAGGATGGCCTGGTGAGACATAAGTGTACAGTGTCTCAGCACAAGGAACTTGCAAATAGGATTCTCGGAATATTGCGTACCTGCGTTTCGAATTCTCTTAAAGACTTCAACGGATTCCCAGCGAGAATAAGCACCTGTATGCTTCCGGAGAGGAGATCCAGAGGATCACACGAATCAATATACTTTGAATTCCCGGATGAGAATATGTATCCTAATGAGACCTTGGGGCCAGCATTGTTCTCTCCGGTGTTCTGAAGCCATGCAACGAAGGATTCCATCTTGCAGGTGGCGGAGACAGCTTGTAACAATCGATCGTCATGCCACAGTATGACCCGTTGCAGAGAGCTAGGGACAAGGCGATCACATGCTTCTGATGACGGTAGCTCCCAAATGCAGCTACAGAACTTCAAGCACTTCATAGACGGGAATCGGTAAATGTACCGAAGGACGTCATCGAGTTGCTTAAATATGTGTAGTTGAATTGAAATGCGTTTGATTGACCCTGCGCATCGCTCGGCGAAATCCTGGAATTCGGGTACGTCCAACCAGTTGGAAAAAGGTC